TCTTTTCCATTTCTTAAAACCTTTACAATTCTTCCTAAAATGATGTTAGTACAAATCAATTTGCCATCGGGACAAACAACTGATTCGTATAGCTACATTATACACTTAGATATTTCTTCCTTATCAATTATCTTTTCCATTTTAAGTAGTAAATCAATTTGCATTGGCTATCTTATTGTTATACATCCTAATAAATCCTTTACCGCCCTATTGTTCCACTCCACCTTGAACTTATAAAACGTAAGGAACATTTTATTGTGTTAGTACTCAAGAAATCTCATTCATTTGCCGTAAAGTTGTAACCCAGATGGCTCCTTTAAAACGTGCTTGGAACTCTAACAACGAAAATCACTTAGTTAATTTCTAATTTAAAATCAATTACTGACCTATAAGCGTTTCCTTTTTCTATTTATGTAAATATATTTTTTCTGAGCTTCCTGCATTAATGATTATTATAGTAGACAAGCCATTTTCCTGTGACTTCAACCGAGTAAAATAGAGTCTATGTCACCCGTACACGATATAGCTTCCCGTTTTAATTTACCAGTACTTTCGAAGCCTGTTCGATTGTTCAATGCAAACAAAACAATCAAAGATTTCTTCTTTATTATTAGTAAAGAAATAGGTATTAGGACACGTTTTACTGTGAATATTTAAAGTTCTATCTTTATGGGCGTCTTAATAATAATAAAAGACTTTTAGAAATAAAAGAATAATGAAAGATTTCTTATATTTTTAGCTGTACTATTCATATATGAAACAACTTTTAAACGGTTTCATCGCGTGTGTTTTTAGTTTTATTGATGTTTCGGACCCTTTACAGGTAATAAAACTAAATACAAACGCGATGAAAACGTTTAAAAATTGTTTCAATTATACCTATATTATATATGTGTTGGAAATTTTGTCGTTTAATTGAGATTTTTTTACTATTATAACATAATATGTCTAACTCCACAAACAAAATAATGGAACGTTCCGTATTCTAAATTTCAATATCAGAAATCCATTTCCAAGTTCTAAATATCCTAGACTAATCTTAAAATTATAATCTTATTACTCAATTCCCGAACAATATCAGGCAGTTTTTTTATTCTTCATCACAATGAACGATACTAATGAACGTTCTAAATTTGAATATTTTTATCGGTAATGTAATCACCAGCACAATGGCGACTTTAAGCTCTAATGAACGTACTTTTGAAAATTTGTATCGATAATGTCAATGTAAACTAATGGCAGCTGGGTGATAGTACGTTTTAGAATAAATATTTTAAGTTGAAACATCGATGTAATGAAATTGTTTAAACTTCAATCATAACTTTTCGGACTTGAGCCTATTAAAGATGAAGTGAAAAATTTTCGTCATTCAAGTTAGTAAGTACCGTATAACTTTTTAAAAGTCACCATTCATTCGGAACTTCTTGTAGCTGTGGAAAAGAGTGGGCGCAAGGAACTCGATTAGTAGAGTTGATGAAATTGTTTCTATAACACATGTCGACAAACCTCACTAGTGCCTAGCAACGTATGTTTTTGAGTTTATTTTTGTTCTGTTAAAATGTGCTGTGTTATTTTTTATTTTAAATACATATAATTATCCAAAAATGTCTGTTTCTATTATTTACATCGTATACGTTAACGTCAGAAAGGAGGTCTCTCAAAACTGGCTCTCTGAGAATTTCAAGAAGAAGGAAAATAATTCACTGATTACAACAAAAATAACAATAAAAAATTAAATAATCAATTTAATGGTGAAAAGAACTAAATAGGCTAATACTTTTCATATAAATATGAAGTTTGACATTTAAAATTTGAAGAAAATACAGCTTTATATATTTAACCTGAGGTGCTAAGAATAGACCGGCTGGTACATAGACGAGGCCTAGTCTTAATACATTTTGGAACATCTCCTTTGACATATTATGGCAACCTGACGTGTTGCTATGTTATTATACAGAAATAACATCTACTGAAATTTAAATATAGGGCTCTCGAAGTGATCTTATAAATATTTGCCGTTATAGAGTATATTTATATTATATAATAATAAGATGTTTAATATCTTTAGACAATTTAGCTGTCCAAGTTAACATCAAGTTAATGAAGAGGAACTTGCTTATCAGAGAAAATTATTTGGGCGTATGATGAATGGTTTCTGGAAACAAAATACTGTAGTTGCCATCACAGATATTAATCATTTTACAAATAAGAAGGTAGGAATACTTACTTAACATTAATTTTCCCTGTAACTCGGTTAATTAGTAAAAATATAGTTGATTACTTTACTGAATAAGAGAAAAAAGTATTAAAAAATAAGACAAAATTAATGTCAGCCTTAGAGGAACATCAAGGATAACAAAGGTCAATTGTTCAAAATTACCAAGCTTGAATACATGGTATTGTTCTAAAGAGATTTTAGAGTCAGCAGACCTTTTAAAGTGAATTAATTACGCCTCCATCCCATCTGGGCGTAGGGATAAAGCTTTCCTATCCAGTTTCATCAGGGCGGAAACAATGAAAAGTGTGAAGTATAGAAAAAGAGAACGTATAAATCCTATCAGAAAAAAACAATGCGTGGAATCAATGAAATCCTCTTGGCTCTTGGTATTAGTTTTACTTTTGATTTTAATGCTTTCACAGTATCAAATCAGGCAAATGTACAAAATCTAAGTGGTCAATGTCAAGATTCTGACTTGGTTTCTAGAATACAAAATATTACAGCATAGGTACATGTATGATATTTGCAAAAAGAATTTTAACAGAAACAATAACGTACAGTATTTAATTTAAAGAGTGTAGGTATTTCATAACAATAAAAACGCCGTTTCTTGCGGAGAAGTCATAAAGGACCGTATTCTACTAGACGCAGTCCTGTCTATGGATTTCATACATGGTCATCGGTTTGTATGACTGTATCAAAAGTCATACGAGGGTCAAACTGAAAGTTCTTAGAACTGGCCACTTATAAACAATATAATAAAAAAATAATTCTAAAATTTGAAAATATAACTCTTTGCCAATATTACTGAGTATATATTTCATTCATTTGTCATTTGTTTTACGATTTGGCGGCAAATTGAAAATTGTCTGTGTCACGTCATCATGAATTTAACACGAGAAAATTTTCGTGCAATGATTTTTTATGACTTTCGATGTCATTTAAGTCAACAAGAAAGTTATGATAGACTACGATTGGCCTTTCACGATGAAGCCCCATCTCGTGCGACTGTTTACAACTGGTTTAATGAGTTTAAACGTGGTCGCACTAATCTCACTGATGATTTACGTGAGGGACGGCCTTCTACGGCGACGACTGAAGATAACATCTGTGTTGTGCGGCGTATGATAGAGACTGACAAAAGAGTGACCTATCAACAGATTCGGACAAGCTTAGGCATCGGTATGAGTCAAGTGCACAAAATCCTCCACGAACATTTAGCGGTCAGGAAGCTTTGCGCCCGGTGGATACCTCATAATTTGACTGAGGCTCAAAAACTCCATCGTGTGGATTGGTGTCGTAAAATGATTGAAAGATTTAACGGAGATGACTCAAATGCTGTGTTCGACATACTAACAGGTGACGAAAGCTGGATTTACTGTTATGATCCTAAAACCAAAAGACAATCTGCTCAGTGGGTGTTTCCTTTCGAGGAGTTGCCAACTAAAGTGAAGAGAGATCGAAGTGCGGGAAAAAAAATGGTGGCCTCGTTCTTTGGAAGGATAGGTCATTTTGCAACAATTGTGTTAGAGGATCAAAAAACAGTTTCTGCAGAATGGTACACTACCAATTGTTTGCCACTTGTCTTGGAAAAAGTTCGAGAGAAACGACCTCGCAGTAGGATCCTCCTTCACCACGACAACGCCTCGTCGCACACCGCCAAGCGAACGATCGACTATTTGGCGACATCAAACGTTGAATTACTGGGTCACCCGCCGTATAGCCCCGACCTCGCGCCTTGTGATTTTTATTTATTTCCAAAAATTAAAGAAAAACTTAAAGGAAAGCGGTTTATGAATGCTGAAGAAGCGGTGGCTGCGTATCGCGATACCATTGAAGAGACCCCTAAGGACGAGTGGGCAAAGTGCTTTTCCCAGTGGTTCCATCGCATGCAGCGGTGTATTGACGTGAATGGACAATATTTTGAAAAGATATAATAAAACTAATAACTGGCTAATGTAATCAGTTTTTGATTTTCTAAGAACTTTCAGTTTGACCCTCGTACAAACAATAGCTAAACTAAATCGGGAAAAGTGTATCTTGACCACTGAAATGTGGCTGCAACATGGACCCACTAACGATGTCAGTTATTTTTTCTTTTGTCTGGTATTCTTTCTACACCTATTAACCAACGGAGTGTTGCTGTTGATTTTTATATTGACGCTATCTTTCAGGTCAACTATCTTTCTCATCTCTTAATTGCGAAATATTAGGAACACATGTGTGTTATTGGTTATAACGTCTACATTGAGAAATTTCGTATTTTGAAGGTTTTGCTTGTCGTCCCTTAGTAAAATATCGAAAGATGCTTAAAACTATTTTATACTTTAAACTATATCTTATCATTATTTACTCAGTTCTTTACGCTTATGTGATGAACAATAGAAAAAACAAATGGCTATAAGTATATTTTTCATCGACTTCAAAATGAAAAAGGGGTACGCCTACGTATTTTTTTATGTACGAGTATTTTTCCCAATTCAAATTATAGACCAATTTTCAAACATTGCCTATTCTCATATCATACCTATACGTTTAAAAAAAATTTATAGGAGCATGATCAGCAGTTTTATTTTACATTAGGTACTCTAGTAAGGACCTAATGTAAAATCTACTCTACTCTAGCAAGGCGCAGTGGCTAGCGCGCTCGGTCTGCGATACGGTTGTTAAGCAACATTCGCAATTTCCGGTCATAGGATGGGTGACCAAAAATATATTATTTCGAACTCCTCGGTGTTTCGGACGATCCCTTTCCACTCACCTCATAAATTATTGATTGCAGGTGCAATCCCTGATGTTGAGGAAAAGTCTACCATGTCCACTGCCTCCTGTACCGGCCTCTCTTTTATTACAATTATTTCCATTCGCTGTTATGCTAGACCGTCGTATGAAGGTAGTCATGGCTGGTGATAAGGTAAGGCTTCTATTTGTAAGTTGTAGTCTTCTAGATTCATGTATGTAAAGTTTGTCCATTGGGTAAGTTTCTGCTACGGTTCCTAAATTTTTTAAACGATATGAAAGTAGGAGGAGTTTTTAATCCCTCTAATACCATTTTGCATCCTTGCAAGCAAGTATCCTTGACTACGCACATACACTACAACAGAAATTGCACAAACTTGCTCTACGTGACTCTAGTTGCTATGTGGATTTCCAAGAAATATAATAATTAACTTGATACGACTTATATCCTTTTTTTAATATTTCAGCTAGTAGAGGCATGGGGAGGACCCTACAATCGTATCGCAAAGTCACCAATATCAGAAATACTAAGATTGAGAAAACCTAAAGTATCTTTCACTTGGGATAAAGTAAGTTCAACTCGATTAAGTAGAAATGTCTATTAAGTATCGGTAATTCCAAAGATTCTTTATATAGTGATGGTTATAAGTAATTATAATTATCAAATATTTCAGGTATCATGCATGCAGACGATGATATTCGAGTTAGAGTTGATGAGATGGCGGGCTAAATGCACGGGGGAGTCTCGTCGTGGCTCCCAGGGTGCCCGTTCAGTTTTGCTGAGAGGACCTATTCATCTACTGGAGGAAATAGACGCACTGATATTCCTATGCAGCCCTATGTGTGTACTGGATTTTATTACCGGCTGAAAATAGCTTGTAAATAAGTGTTTTAGTGGCATTGTAGATAAGCGCCGCGGCCCGTGATCATTATTGTTAAGCAACTTTCGTAAAAGTCGGTCGTCAGACGAGATGGGTGATCAAAAAAATATTATCTCAAGCTAATCCGTATTTAAGAAGGCACGTTAAGCCGTTGATCACGGCTGCAATTGCAGTCGTAATGGAGACTTAAAAGGTCTGATGATAGAAAAAATCATAAACCTTAGAGTGCTGGACTGACTGTAGGCACGCGTATATTGGTACGCTTTGTGTACTAGAATCGTCAGTCGAGCGCGTACGTAGGTCCGTCGGCAGGCCGGATAATGCTCATTGACGGTCGGTCTTGCGCTTTCCAAACACCTTTTTCGATAGCCGATAGAAAACTTATCTTCAGCTGAACTTTGACACTTGTATGTAAAGGTGAATAATAATGATGATTCTTAACGTAACTTTCAAAAATGTCTTATGTTTTCAGATTCAACGATTTTGAAGAACTACAACAAGCCGGCATATATCTCGCCGACATGAACGGCCATGGGCTTTCTAAAGAGATGCTTCTCCAAGGTTGGCAGCATGTTTCCAGATTGGAGTTGCTTTTTGAAAAGGCCGAGACCAGGTCAATGTCACTAGAAAAGTCTTGTAGACTGCGAGACCAATGGAAAAAGAGGGGAGATCAATTGCTCTATTCGATGATACCTAAACCAATAGCAGAACATTTGAGAGCTGGTAAAGATCCGATGGCTGCTTGCCAGGTAATCACGATAAAAATGTTTTGTTATCCGATAGAGAGAGAGAGAGTAGAGAGTAAGTAGACATAATAATGTTATTGATAGGGAGATACAAATATTATGAAGTTATTACTTTTCCTATAATATAAACAAAATCCTTCGCTTTGTCTGCAATTTTCATCAGCGAACGGAGTAATTCATGAGAAAGTTCCGGTTTTTAGTTAAGATTTTATGTTTTTAATAGCGGAATGTAGGGATAGTTAGTAAAGAAAAAGCTTAATGAGTAACATCATGTCACCTATGTGCAGATGCTCGAGAGGGTCCAAAAAACTTTCTTGAGAGCATTTTATAGGAAATTCTACGCGTATTATCCGTCTCGTTATCCGACCAAGTTTCTGCTCGGCCATCTCGGCTATAATTTCCTGGAGGTAAGAAGGTTGTTGGATCAGCTTAGCGTTTGCCTCAAAACTTTAAAAGGTTCTGTCGATTTCCTCTTCTTACACAATCTGCTGTGTGTAATCTTTATCCCTGACCGACCGGAACTCCCACCCGTCGGAAGGCGCGTCTGCAGTCGGCAACATAATTTGTTTCATGTTGATAGCGGCCGTACCTTAACACGTGCAATGTCGCCCTTAGTTAGGCCTCTGCGTCACCTCAATGCACTTCGTGACGCCAACACCGATTTCAATTTTTTGTTTGACAATTGGGAAAATATTAAGCGGCAATAATTGACGTACTGTGAGAGTGTAAGGGACCAATGGAGTAACTCTCTGCAAATTAGAAGCTTAGGCTCTACAAGCAAATTATACCGTTTGAAAGCTGGGGCATGTGGCTAGCATTATAGTCAAAATTTGGTTTTGTAGGCATTCGATGGAGTAACAATAATATTTTGCGGTGTACAACTGCCAGAAGCGGAATCGCGAGCTGACGTGATGCAAACAGTTGCTTACATGAACGATTTGTACTCGAGAATCGACAGACTTCTAGACACACATCGAGTGTACAAGGTAACACTAACTTAACCAAGTCATTACGGTTCATTATAATATGTATATGTTATTATAATTATAAACCTATAATTCTCTATTTTAAGAACTAGAAACGTTTCACTTTAACATGCTTTTCTGAAATACCACTGAGCAATAAAGTAGTAGCAATGAGTTAAGAATCCAGCAGTGTCAATCCATGCCTTCCGATTTTTCTTTCTAAGTTAATAAAAAGTAAATCACATATAATAAAAAGGAATTGAATTTCGAAAACTAATAATTCATTGTATATTTTTATTTATACAAGCTTCTTATTATTCTTATATTTTATAAATTGCAAATTAAAAATTTTTTAAATTGTGATACCTACGAGTATTTGGATGCTATGGATTTACCGTTCTCTAGTGAAATTCATTTAGAAGCTTGGGTTTTTTTATTTTATTAATATGACACTACATAAAGTAGAAATAAGTCTCACCTTTTATACGCACCCTTCTCTGATTTACAGGTCGAGACAGTGGGTACGGTGTACATGTTGGTGTCAGGTGCGCCGGACCGCAGCCGAGCGCACGTCGCCTCTGCGGCCAGCGCTGCGCTGGCGATAGCTAGGGCGCTGCCCATGTTAACTATAGGTATATTCACAAAACACAAACCTCTTTTCTGTGTTCTGTGCGTATATCTTACTGAAACTATAGCACAGCCTTAGAGTAAAATATGTGATAAACTTATTTTAGACAGTAAATAAATTATTAATTGAGAGGTATCACTGAAAATGATCATCATTAACCTGTAAAAGTCCCCATTGTAAAATTACACAGGCTTCGAGGGCTGGAGCTGGGGCTGTTTCTACCGGCAAAGCTTTAGTCGGTATGCCACCAGCGTTTTGAGTAGCCTTAGAGTGTGAATGGAGAAACCTACACTTATATGGCTTATTAATCAGCAGTACAGTGCGTAACGCATTTACCTTACAACACAAAACAAGGTCACATAATGGACAATAACATGAAAACTAGCCATAAGACACCAATCTTATTAACGTTGCCACTGTTGTTACACATGTCTCCTTAGGTACGGATTAAATCAAATCAATCAAAAGGGGCCATATAACTCAGACCCTGTGTATATATTAGACTGTTAACGAATGATGATGCAGCTGCGACAACAGCATTACTTGACGTGCCTTCGAAAGCACGGATGAACTAGAGACAATATATTTTTGGTTACCCATTCTATGACTGGTCGTTGTTTATCTGCATTGCAGATAGCGTCATTGATCTCTGATATGGATTGTACTCGTAGACGAAATAATAACAGTTTAAAGTCCTAATTAAAATATATATATATAGGTATCCATTCTGGCTCAGTCGTTGCTGGCGTGCTAGGACTGCGGTTGCCAAGGTATTGCTTGGTGGGAGATACAGTCAATACAGCCAGTAGAATGCAGACCACATCGGAGGTACTACAGTTTTGTATGCTTGTTAAGTATATGGTACTTAGTTTTGCTTTATTCAAGATACTTACATACTATAAGTGCTCAATTGATTAAAGGAAATCTAACCTGAAGAATCCTTATCTGGAAATAATTAAAGCAGTTTTTTTTTTCTCAGCCGGGACGAATCCAAATATCTGCACAAGCTGCTGCAGAATTGCCAGCTGGAAGATTCAGGCTACGTCGTCGAGGACTAATTAAAGTTAAGGTAACTTTCACCTGGCTTAATAGGATATGTTTGGCGGTAAGTTATTCTAGGAAGATTGACAAACCGTCTTACTGGCAGAATATCAGAATCACACCTCCATTAATCACACCTAGATATTACTTAACCAAATTATTATAACGCCACTTATAAGTACGCAAGTGACTATGGGCAATCATGTTGTATAAAAGGTATTTTCATCACACCTAATATTACCTATATACATACATCATCAGATCTTGTACGTCCCCGCTGCAGGGGCTCAGGCCAAAGAATGTTATGGTTCATTTTTGGCCATAACCCTCCACGCTGGCTCAATGCTGATTGAAGAGTATTAAAGATTGCAAATACAGTCGGGACAGATGTCTCAACGTGCCTTCCGAAGCACGGAGAAGCTTGAGATATTTTTTGGTCACCCATTCTCGTCACCCTTGCAAAAGTTGCTTAGCAACGCTTATCCACTACGCCACCGAGCTACTTTAAATTCGGTATTATTTTATTTTCAGGGGAAAGGTATGATGGAGACATTCTGGTTGGAAGGAGAAGTGGAAGAAGAATTGCAGGATGAGGCGCTTCAATTATTTTCTGCTCTTTGTGGTGGAGAATAAATAACGTAGAAAATTCAACTGTAATACCATAGAAAAAGGTATATAATAGGAATGACGACCAATTTCTATTTGTTTAAGCGTCAATTAGACTTTTGATAAATATTAAACACGTATAATTTTCGTAATCATCAAATGAGGAAGTAAAAAGCATTAGTTCCCGAAATCAAACTAGGTGTCGCTACGGTAAAACTCAATGAACAACTCATATTCTATTTGTACTGTTTCATATTTGTATTGATATCAAGTTTCAAACTTTTCAAATTTAAATTTTTTAATATGTTAATTAAAAGGAACGGATGACTGTCTTTAGTCAATTCGTTTCCTGCAAAAATTAACTTTTGTTAGAGTCGCCATCAGTGTAGGTGCTTTTTAGTGCTTCCGTTTTTTTTTTAATACTTCCTCATTAAGGCGATACATTGAGTTAAAATGTCACATGACGTCACACTTTTATACATTTTCTACAAAACTGTGACGTAATAAGCCATCACTCCTCAACTTTATTGCCTGTTATCTAGGCTACTTCTTGTTAAATTGGTGTAAAAAATACGTATCTAATATTTTTCTAATATTTTATTGACTAACTAAATATAATTTCTTTTTTTTTATTCACCAGTTGTCAACTCTATTATACATATATGAAGAGAAATACAGGCATTAAACATTTCATCGAACTGCTGTCTACATAATAAGCGAGTTTTAAAAATTACACTATTGTTTTATAGTATAATAAATGTCAATAAATACTACCCATAATTCTTAATTTCAATACCTATAGAAAATCATGGAATTCGTGTGATTATCCTAAAACAATTTAGGCGGAGGAAGTCTATATTTCAGTGTAAATATTAGACGACAATACTCAGATTCCAAGATGTGTAACCTTATTATAGACTATCTGAGAAAAAGAATGACACCCAGAGTGGTAAGTGTAAGTTTTACGCTAACGCGTTCACTAGTGAGCGCGTTAAGAATTTGTATGGAGATTTGTAGTTCTTGATAGTTACCGCTAGGGGCGCTGTGCCGGATTCCATACTAAAAACTTAACGCGCTCACGATCGACAGTGAACGTAAACGACAAAAAAGCTTACACTAAGCGCTCTGATCCATGACAACTTCTGTGTTCTGTGCGTGACAATACAAAAACTAATTTTATACATTGAGTCGACCGGGAATCGAACCTTGGTTCTGATTAAGAGCCATATTACATCTCAACTATGATTTCTGCGTGATTTTTCTCGGAAACAAAAACAAGATAACAATTTTGACTTGTTGAATAGTGAAGAATAACTCTTAGTATAAAAAAAAGTGGCTTAACTTTTTGGAAATTTTGCTCATCTTTTTAATTAAACCCAAAATACCAGAGAAAGATTTTCATAAAATGCGCAAAGACACTTTTTTGAAGTCCTGGATTGAGCTACTGTTCTTATCAAACGAAATAAAAGAAATAGAATGATATCTCTTATATAGTCGTAAAGTAAATAGTAGCTCGAAATTTTGAAATAGCAATAATTAAATATAGAAAAACAATCATATTACAAACCAAAAAACATCAAAAATTGCTTGAAGTTAACTTTGAATTTCTCTTAGCCACAACAATATTATTTAAGAAAATTTATGCCAGATTAATGACTATTTCATAAGGAACAAAGTTATTATAATTTTAAAGCATAAATTTATTATATTATTTCAATAAATACGATAAATGTAAACGCAAAATCACTACAAAATAAGATGCAGCGGCCTTCTGAGCTCAGTACCCATCAGTACCGCGCGAGCGCTCCTCAACGTTGGACTTGTGTCGCATTACTTCGCGCCATTTTTCGATCTAGATACGTTCGAGCGAGCGTAAATAGAGCAGTATAGTGGGACTTCCAACTTTGGTCACGAAGTTCGATTTATATGGAATTTATATAGCTTGTTGAATTATTTCTAATACACATTTGTTATTTTCAGCATAGGTCGAAAGACCCCTAGGTATATTTATATAAGAAAGTTAAAATATATATTTATATTAAGCAATGCAAATAAAGCAAGGTACTTCTTCTCTCAATAGACTTATACTAGTACATAAAAATTGGAGTGCATATTTGTAATATTAAAATAACCGCTTTTCACTAAATACATTTGTGTGTATACATGGTACATATACAAAAATAATATATTTTATCTGTCTGTCTGTTAGTTCTGGCAAATCTCTGAAACAGCTTGGCCGATTTTGAAGAGACTTTCACTAGAAGTTGACTTACGTAATGAGGATTAACTTAGACTTATGGCTCGATGCAATTCGATCGATATCAAATTTATCGGAGATCTGCATATCAAACAACTTTTTCTAAATTCAATATATTTTTAATCCCCGACGCAAAAACGACGCGGTGTTATAAGTTTGACATGTCTGTGTGTCTGTGTGTGTGTGTGTGTGTGTGGTGTGTTTGTGTCTTTTTGTGGCATCATAGTTCCCGAACGGATGAACCGATTTTGATTTTGTTTGAAAGGTGTATTAGTCGGGAGTGTTCTTCACTTTGATGAAAATCGATCTAAGATGGCCGCCGCCACAAAATGTCGGATTACATATTTTATCACCATTCCATCAATATGGGTATCAAATAAGAGGGCTTGAGTAGTAGAATACTGAACACTATCACAAATTTCAAATCCAAGATGGCCGCCACCAAAAATGTTGGATTACCTACATATTTCTCACGACTCCCTCAATACGGACATTAAATAAAAGGGCTTGAGTGTTGTGTAGTATATACAAGACAAGTCAATAATGGGATGGGCGATCAATCTTTTTTATTTAGCTGAACTGAAGGGGTGGTGGTGGGGCGGAGCGGCGGGGCATGGCGAGTATTTACTCTATTTTTAACGCATACTTGTTTAGTAACGTGTAAAAAAATTTCGTCACCCATCCGATTACTGACCTTTGCAAACGTCGCTCATCCTCTACAATCGCAGATCAAACTTGTTAACTACTTCAGCAGCAAGTCAATCCACCCAGCATTTGTGACTGGACCCACGTGTGGTGGTGCTAAAGAACAGATATTCTCAATAGATGAAATTATTCCAACCAGCATTTCTCGTAGCATTCAGCACACCAATTAGGATTAGTAGTGTAAAACACATATTATTAATCGTTGATTTAAATGCATCCAGAATTACCTTTAAAGACCTTTAATTTGATACCCATAAAGTTATGATTATAAAAAAACATACTTTTTTAAATGGCGTCACACGTCCCCATACCTATTTAATATTAATAAATAAAGCTAGTTTCACTGATACTCTATGTATTTTGTGGTAACTTAGGATGATGTTTCTAATGATACCCTATAAATTCATATCCGTAATATCTTTCAAAAGTTATGGTGCAATAAAAAACTCACATACATACATTAATTATAAAAACAATAGACTCCTTTCGAGAGCAGTCGTGTTAAAATATTCGGGAATCGATAATGAATCTCACCATAGAAATACTAAAATAAATACAAAAATTGGGAAAAGTATCAAAATAGCTTGAACGTGATTACCTAATCTCAGAGAGTGAAAATTCGTTAAATTATGGCTCTTAAGAATTAGCTAAAATGTAAATTAAATTAATCAACAACGTACAATTATAAAGAAATATTATACTTCGTAATGAATAAAAATGCATTTTTTAAATTATTCATAGTTTAATATCAACAGACGAATTAAATTCGTATCAGATTCCGTTTTCTATACGATACACTTAAGTGAATGTAGTTTTTACATATTGTAGATACAATTTTGTCTTAAGCAATAAAGTTAATATAATGTTTTGTACATAACACGAATACCGACAAATGTTTAAGCAGATCTAAAGCGTAACTTCAGGTATTTTTTTAATATCTTACATAACCTTGATATTAAAAAAAACGAAGATGTATTTTAAAAAAATATTTCTGAAAATCAAAATAGTTGCCACTTATACACGTAAAACGTAGTGTTTCGTAATCGAAAATTTTTTTAAACCGCAAATTAGTATATAACTTACGTCACGTGTAAAGGAACGAACATTACCCGCAGTAACATTTTGCATATAGTGCCGCCATCTAATGACATTAATTAAAGTTGTTTATTTTTAATACTTCCTCATGTTAGCCACATAATTTACGCGTTAATTTCAAATTTATTTGAACGTTAAGACAATTAAAGTTCTCATTTACGGGGTATACCCGCTGGTGTTTACAACGTACAACGTGACACGATTCATAACCACATTTATGATTATATTCATGATTAATTTTAATAGCAACATTATGGCTTATATGCAAGTATATAAATTGTTATATACTTACATGTAAGAAATACATTGGTATATTATGCACGATTGCTTCAACTCAATAGTGCCATTGTTTGTATTTATTTAATGTGTTTAAAATTAAATGAAAAAGGTGTTAATTTCCCCCAAAAAATCAAATACCTACTCAAAATCATGTTTAAATTTTAACCGTTTAAAAACGTAAATGGCGGCTCAGATCACGCGACGTCATTTGTAGGGTTAACACAAGCTATTTTCAGTAGAAAAAAATGAATTATTTTATGCTACTTATAATTCATTTTAACAGCTGCCTTAAAAACTGAATTAGTCAATAGACAACATTGAAAATGTTTAGCTACCGTTCCAAATAATACGATACTGAAGAAACTACTGAAAAGATACGCATAAGATTATTACAACATAGCTTCAATGTAAGACCAAGTCGTCTAAGCACTCGTGATATAAAAATTGAAACAAAAGTGGTAGGTAAAACCATCCCAACTAGCGATACAATAAAGGTCTTTTCCTACATTTACCCGGACGGGGAAAGGAATCCGCGAGGCTAATTGTCCAATTTTATTATCTATTGCAATCAATTTTAACGTTTGAAAGATATTCACATATTTCACATCACATCATCATCACCAGCCCTTTTACGTCCCCACTGCAGGGGCTCAGGCCTTCCTTATGGATGGTTAAGGAGGATCGGCCATGACCCTCCACGCTGGCCCAATGCGGATTGGAGGGTATTAACGACTGCAAATGCAGCCGGGACCAACGGCTTAACGTGTTTTCCGAAGCACGGAGTAGCTCGATATAATAAGTTTTTGGTCACCCATCCCGTGACCGACCCTTGCGAAAGTTGCTTAACGACAACGATCGCGGGCCGCGGCGCTTATCCAATACGCCACCGAGCTACTCAAAAATTTCACGGTATACTACTATTTGAGATATGATAGCGATTATGATAGTTTAAATATGTTGAAATAACAATATCGTAAATTTAACGATGAGGAATGATTAAGGCTAGCGTCGACTCAATATCTTCATGAGCTATAGAGAAATTTCAAACGAAAAAGTTGTATACTAACATCTCATTCTATTTTGGACTTAGACTCCTACACAATAAAGTTTAGAATGAATCAGATTTTGTCAATTTTGGACAATCTAATATACTGTTGATTTTAGAAAATAAATTTTTCGGTACGAATGTTGTTTAAGAGTACTAACACTAAAATTAATCATAACCTAAGCAGCAATTTAGGTTTATGTAATAAAATATTATCTCCATTTGAGATCCAATAATCAATCCAATTGTCTTTAGAAAAATATTTTACATCTTATAAACTCAATCCGAAAATTAATCTACTCAATACAATAACTTGAGCTGCCGTCTTTACATATAAATATTTTTAAATAGATTAATTACCTACGTACAAGTATTTTTTATACAATTACACATACCTTATAAAATCATAATAGGCATGCTACATTTTTTTTAAAGTCTAGATTGGTTCGTTTACCATCTCCTCTATAAAGCCGAATTTACATTACAAAATTAGTATCATTGATGATGAAACAAGTTTCACTAAACTAATTACAGCACATGTGAAACTAGTTTACGTAATGGCATGAAATCAACAATATAACCGAAACACTGGCTCCGTCAACATCGCAGCTTTATTATGCACAGACGGTTTCACAACACTAGTTTCACAATGTAAAACGTGCTGTAATTAGTCAGATGACATTAGTGTCATCAAAAATATGCGGATAAAACGAACTACTCTAGTGAAACTGCAGAGCGATCGCCTAACTCCTCTAGCTAAAATTCCATAGGTTACGACACCTTTAGCGATGTTATAGCGCTATTTCATTTCATTTTACGACTTTGACAAAATTTTGACAACGAAGAACGAACGACAAAGAAAGATGAATATGGATATGACAGCAGCTTTTCCACCTTAGTCATTTATACCAAATACATTCACCAAAAGACATGTCAAACTAATAAAACAAAACGAAATAATATAAATATTCGCTAAGATGTCGTATCCTATGGCTAGAGAGTTAGTCGGTCGCACCCTGGACATGTACATATGAAATTGCTAATGAAATGAATGTAATTAAACTATTTTCACATAACAAGTTTCGAAATGTAAATTCCGCTTAAAAATGGAACCTACATGGGTTCCGTTCCAAAAAAAGTTTTGACAACTACGTATTAATATGGGTAGTGGTTTTAGAAAAATTTGGGGCATTAGTTGGTGCGACGTAATGACTTCTGTCGTTTTTAATGATTCTTGTTGTTCTGGTTTAATATTTTTTTAGATAACGGTATCATAATTAGCTTATTGGTCGATCATAAGGCGTAATTACGCAAGTTTATTATAGTTAAATTATTTAAAGTTCAAAACAGTCCCAGACATTTATAATTTACTGCAATTGTAAATAAAAACTGTAATTTTCAATACAAAAGAATTTAGACAAGATCTCAAATAAAATCATAAAATAATTCCATCTATTGACATACGAATGAAGCTATGACGTTCCATCTTAATTTAATTTATCATCTAAAGGTTGGCACTAAAGTACACTAGGACGGTGAAGTTACATACAGGTTATAAAATAACTTACAATTATTATACGCATAAAAAGGATATTTCTTGCACATACACATTTTTAAAAATGAAATTAAAAGTATAAATATTTGTGTGTATATATGCTATCTCTATTAGTTTGATTATATCTTATTTATGACGTCATCACATTTTGTACAGCCCATGGAAGTGTTCTTGTCATCGTATGTACCCTAGACAAGACAATCTAGAGACCTTACTATCCTCCATCAAACACAAATATTAGGCAAAAAGGTTGACATAAGCTTTAACTGGTATAAAGCTATCACTTCGAGATAGGCGTTGTGATCCCAGATTACAACAGTATAACATTTTCAACTTAAATATTAAGGTATCAAAGTTCACATTCAAACGGAGAAGAATTATGTTTTGAATAAACATTATTGCATTTCATAATGTTAAACTACAATCAGTATCACTGAATAGTACAGTGGCACAACTCAAAAACCATTATTTCGAGAAAACGCCACAACATTGTGGTGGCATCCCATAGATAATTTAAAGAAAAAATAAAAAACTTAACAGTAATAATATAATACAAACGATTTAACTGTTTTGCTTAAAAAAAATGATTTTCATAATTATAAATATATTACATTTTCATAACTTCGGAGAGCGTTTCTCGAAATATGGTTTTTGAGTTGTGCCACTGTACTATTCAGTGAGCGATATGGTACAGTTGATACATAAAACTGATGTGACTCACTGGTGTACCTGCAGAAAGCAGAATTTCGAGGTCTGATAAATGTAGACCAGAATTAATCAAATATTTCGCAATAATGACGTCTCACAAGTGCGAGTGGAACGGACATGTGTTGTATTTTACATCTTATGCCTATTACAATAAGACTATTCATTTAAATTGTCGTTCGTCGTAGATTATTAGGACTGCCCTGCCCACATGATACACCATGAGCCATATTAATTTATCTTACTGTAATAACAATAAAGAATTATAGAGTATTACTATCGAGAATCGAGTACGATACTTTTAATAATATCGTTACTATTGATTTTCGATAGTACTATGATAGTGCCACCGTCACTGCATTGATGAGTATATAACTACATAACTACAAAAGAAAATAGTGACTATATAACTACAAAAGAAAATAGTGATTAAGGCACTAATTGTAAAAATAGTGCCAATAATTGATAAACTACTCTTATAAAAAAAAAACAACAAATTATCCTATAAAAACATCTGCAAACAATTAACATTCGAAAGTATAAAAAAAAGTTGGTCCTCGATTCATGTATGTAAAAAAATTTAAATTTTAAGGTTAAAAGACTGAATTAAATTGTTGCTTTTTAATGAAATAGATATTAATTTATATTTAATATTGAATTATCGATAAATATAGCCATTACACAATTGACGTGAAATTTTAGGGTAACCATCAATTCTTCAAGAAATAAAGTACTTTTCTTATAAAAAACAGTAATTATAAAAACGTCATTATAATTTTAAATGTGAAAAAGTGATAAAACCTATTCTGTTTGAACTGTTTTTCAATACTTGCAATAATTTTAATTATCATTGTGGACCCATTGCGAGGTAAGAAAGAAAAGGATTCAGAATGAAATAAAAGTTAAGGTTACAAATGTATAGTATTAAAGCACCATAATGAACTTTATGTGTTGTATGACTTAAAAAAAAGTGTTTGCATATATTGCACCTTAGATCATAATCAGCTATAACGTATATATAAATAATGCCGGTTTTGATTCGACTTATCATGCCGTTGTAAAAATAATGCTCATAAAATTAATACTACTCAATCATTTACAGTCAATATATATGCATATTTATATTTAGTATTGTAAATAAAATGCTACATAATAATGACTAACTAATACGCCGTAAATTCTGTGTTTAAAACGGTTTTTAAAAATTTACCGACAGATAATTTATCAGTTTGGGAATTAATATATTATTTTATATTTAACAGTGACCAAACCAGTATTGAAAAACGTAGTATATTTTTTCTCTAACCAATATTGTTGGCCACCCTAATGCGATGCAACAAATGGATTTATTATAGTAAAGTAATGAAATTTTATTCGCTTTATGTATAATAAATAACATACGTTACAATCTTGTGTGTTCATGAGCGATACCAAAGCAAAATCAAATGTGCAAGGGGCCTTATTATATAATATCGTACAATACAGTTATATTTTTAACAATTTTGAAGTTCTATTTTTTAAATATTTTTTCTTCTAAAATTCTATAATAAGTACTTGATTTAGATATATTTAATGGGTATATTTTAAAGTTTCTAATAGGATGTTCAGTCTTTCTAATTTATGCGAACGAAGTTCGACATAAAACAATCAAAATAAATTTATTACATAGAAATAGGTTACATAAAAAAATCTTACATACAAAAGTAGCTCTTAAAGAAGTAAACTTAAAACATTTACTTGAGAACTATAAAATAATTTACTTATATGGTGTTCTTCTGTTCATCGTTTTATGAAATATAACAAAAGTAATAATTATCACATTTAACAGTTAAACTTATTTCAAAATATAATTATATAATTTATTTTAATACTTAAAGGAATGTGCTTTTGCCTTAGACACTATAACTATTTGAAGAGAGCCGTGACTTCCTCTATTGTCTTATTTTTCGTTTCGGGCAATTTGAAATAGGTGAAGATAAAGAACAGTATTAACAACGCGGTGTATGGCAAGAATACGTAATTGCCTAGACCTTCTGACATTGGGATAAATGTCAGGCCAACGACGAAGTTGGCAAACCAGTTGACGAGTGCCCCAACGCTGACCGCAGCGCTCCTAGCACCCTGACCGAATAACTCGGAGAGTATCATCCACGGAATGGAACTTGGTCCCACACCAAAGAAAGCTACGTACAAGAACGTAAAGATCACAGCGAATATACTCATAGTAGTATTATTTTCATAAGTAAAGAAGGCCACTGTCATCAGTACTGAGAATACAGTCATGCCAGCAAGACCGCATAGCTGCAAAGTGCGCCTACCTAATCGGTCGATCAATGGAATCGACACGAGAGCCATCACGAAAAGGACACTACCGACACCGATTGTCGTTAACCGTGCATCTTTTTCTTCTAAGCCTGCGTAAACAAAAATAGTCCCTGAATAATATAACACAGCATTAATACCACCGAACTGCTGAGAGAGATGCATAACGACACCGATCACTAAGGGTTTCCTCAACGAGTCTATTCTGAAAAGATCTAAAATAGAGAATTTCTGTTCTTGCTTCGCCGCGTGATCTTCTACGTGCATATCATTGATTTCATCGTTGATTTCCGTGGTTCCTCGTATCTTGGTCAGAGCTATTCTGGCTTGCTGTTCGTCGTGGACAGCGAGCAAAAGGAAGCGAGGCGATTCCGGCGCAAAAGGCAGCATAACGCATTGTACCGCTGATGGGATAATAGCTATACCAAGTAGCCAAGACCATCCTTCGTCACTTCCAAGGATAACGTCGATTCCAAGTATTTGAGCACCGACCATACCGAAAGCAACAGCCAATTGGTTCACCGTTCCGAATGCCCCTCTCAAACGAAGTGGTGCTACTTCTGATACGTAAGTCGGAGATGCCGTAGTGGCGAAGCCGCAGTTGATTCCGATGACAAACCTGCCAATTATAAGCATTTCCACCGAGCTGGCTGCTTTGCTGAAGCCCATTAAGATTGCACCTGCGACACCGATGATAGCGTTAATCATGAGAGCTTTCTTGCGTCCGAGTTTTTCTACTAGCCAACTGGCGAGTGGACAACCGATCATTCCACCGACAGCAAAGATGCTTACTATAACGGAGAATATGAGGCTAGGAGATGCGGTGTATTGTTCTTTGATGAAGTTCTGTATGAAGCTACGCGGCGCATTGATGACGCCGGTATTGTAGCCGAACTGCAGCATGCCCAAGACAGCTGCGCTCACTGCATAAAGCAGCGCACCCGTCGTGCCGCCGTCCGCCATCTTGTACCGAGCCCGCGACTCTGAAAACGGAACAACACATAGTTTTAACTTACAAACATATCTTTATAATACAACTAGCCTATCTAATCGATTGATCATGGAGCGGTATCTTTTTAAGTGAGATCAGTAGCAAGATATAGATAATTTTATTGATAAAGTTCATACTTTGCTCCTTCGATTCAATGGGGACTTGCGTCGAGACACGTTTAGACATGAAAAATTCTTTGACTGTTATTTTTTACCGAAAATATGAATCTCGTCTATGATATCTGTCACGGTCAACATTATCTTATCTCATAGAATCTCGAAAAATGATTAAATTATTATCATTTGATAAATAATTAAAATATTATAATCTCACTAATAACTAATAGATAAGCTTTAAATGTTAAATAATATAAAGAATTTTAAGGATATATAATACAGTATTAAAATGCCTAACGAGATTTAAGTAACTTTATGTAATTTTTATTTATAAAATATACAGTTACCCAAAACAAAACTCAATGAGATCTTATGTCTTCCGAGTTGCAATAAGATTAACATAAACTTTTTAAGACTAACAGAAAAACTTTACAAAATGTATACAATATATAGCGAGATATATATATAACTAGCAAACAACAAGCGAGGACAACTAGTTAAAAGGTTCCAAAACTGTGCAACTAACTCAAGACGACAGATCGTTTAAATAAGAGCGATTCAATCAGATTGTTCTCTTTCATAATTAACTTCGCTGATAAAAGATAATATCCAGTTACTAATACCATGACTAAAACTGTTCTAGAAAACTATTCTTGGAAAATTATAAGCGTGAAAATGTATATTGACTCTCATGTTAAATATTTAACGACGCAAAATAAAAATTTGTTGATTTATTTATGGAGTTAGTTATATTCTTGCGATTTCGCCAGTAGTTTCAGAACTTATTCTATTCAAACAAATAAATAATCAAATAATAACAACTGCTGGTACATTAACAATTCTTGAATTAACTTGAAATTATTGCATTGATATTAAAATAAAAATCCTGGAAAAAGTAGGTAGTGTCCTTGCGCTTCGTTTGACTTGGCTTTTGCACGGGCACGTTAGTGGTAGTGGATGATTTATTTCAAGATCCAAGCCCAGACTATCTCATAATTATATAGTCCCAGCATCATTCGTCTTTATCATTATTATCAGCCACACGACGTCCAATACTGAGCATAGGGCGCTTCTACTAGAATGTCTTAATAATACAAATTTGACAATGGAAATATAGTCCAAGCATTCGAATAATATACGACAATTTTAAAGGTCTTAACTCAACATGTCGGAAGAATTACACAGTTAGCAATGGGATTATGAAACGTGTGCTATGGAATCGTTTAAATATTTAAATGAACATTCAGCAGAACGCATTTACTATGCAATAAAATAATAAATATAATGGTAAAGAAAATACATTAGTATAAATAATTAATTGACACAATAATTAGAAAGACATATAGTTCGTTTGTCGGGTTCAAAGCACATAAGGTTGGGAATACAAAAATCGATAGTGTTTGAGCAATCGAATAACTTGTAAATGGCGATTTCTAGACGTATAGAATTATTAATAATAGCATAAATGACATTCATTTTTACGGAGATGTGTTTGATGGTAACATGGTTTTTTTTAGTGATAACTAGGTAAAAACTAATAGTTAATCATAAAAACTCATATAATACTTAAGTTATAAGACGTGAACATGAGGAAGGAAAACGAGAATACAACAATGATTCGTCGTTTTAACATATGTGACAAATACCAACCGCAAGGCACGCGTTATTGTAACACTTTGGGTTTTTTTCATTCGACATTCGTTCCTATAGGTAAGTAATAACTACATTTAGGTATCTCAAAAGTGATAGAATAGGTAACACTAACATAGACCCAGCTAGATGGAGCTCAAACGATTGAATCAGAAATACTATCAAATATTTTTGGTGCAACCCAAGATGGCAAAGTAATGTTTTAAATGTATTTTATGTTTCATAACGTGATAGATAGCTAGGGGAAAGACATCATCATCATCATAATCCCTTTTACGTCCCTATTGCAGACCTTTCTTGATGATAGGCCATGAGACTCCACGCTGGTCCAATGATTGGAGGGTATTAGTGATTGCAAATACACTCAAGACCAACGGCTTAATATACCTTCTGAGTTACGGAGTAGCTCGAGATGCAATTTTTTTGTCATCCATCCCTTGCTCGACTCTTGTGAATGTTGTTTAACAACAACGATTGCGTGCCGCGGTGCTTATCCACTATGCCACCGAGCCTCTCTAGGAGGAAGACAAGCAAAGCTAGGGTAAAAGCACGCAAATATAATAACAAAACAACATTCAACCATCAAATGCAATTTCAATAAAATACCATTTCTGGAACAACAGTTAAGTTCTGTTCTCGATAAATGATTTTCAAGATTACAGAAGCTTAGAGAAATGTCGGTGGGAAAATATTTATCGACTTGTAATTGGCGTGTTATTTGACTAATTTAATTAGATACTAAAACTGTGCAGCCAGTATTTTGTATATAATAATTGAAAACACTGATATGGATGTTATTTGGTATTTTGTTTATGAAAAACATCCCGATAAGGACTATCTTATTATAGGTAAATTAAAAGTTGGCTGATGGTTATTTTATAAAAACACTTGAGTAAATAAAATCTAGTTTGGCGCGCATTTATTAATAAACAGCTACGTGTAGCAATTTTTCAAACATCGCCTAGTTCGTATCGAGCACAAGTGACTAATTTCGTAGACTTGTTTTCAAGATCTTTCAAGCTTTTATGGTATTTTAGTTTAGAATAATAGTTTCCACAGGATCACCGGAGTTACCCTGTGATCATGGCGCTTGCAACAGTGCAGAAATATCAGGACCTGAATAAAAACAAGGCACATACATAGTAGCATTCCCGTAGAAAGTCATCATTCTAATCTTAGTTTCCTTGATAGAGGTAATTTATGATGCAATGCAAATTCCAATACGAAAATCAAAGTCTTTGATGAAAATTCTACATAATGTGGTCAATGCACACACCATAATAAGGTTCGTGCTAACGATCTCACTGAAGAAGCATATGGAAAGAAAATGATTTAAGGTACTCCCTTACATGGTACATTTGCAGGTTAATGTAACGTTACAGAGTGGAGCATCGCATCACATTAGCAGAATTAGCCTGAAGGAAGAGAATAAAAGAAGAGTGCACAACTTCAATAATAAACAGTTGCTACTTGTGACAACAAGCGAATGCTAAGTCAGGGAGGCAGTAGAGGCAGTATTGTAATGCAATGCGCAATTTAGATAATTAGGCCTCTGATATATAACATTTTAGGCAAGTATTCGTGGTGAAAGAGCAAGTACTTTTTATATCACCAGTGTTTTTCTATCAAAATAAAGCGTCACACATTAGCGCTGTCACAACATTAGAGGTTTAATCGAAATAAAACCTATTGTGAAATGTCTTATTTGTTTAAACCTCTATGAGATGCTAAGATCGACGCTGTATTTTTACATAATAGCACTACTAAGAAAGTACTTAGCAAATTTTATGTTACACTTAACCAATTTTAGCAGTAGGTTGTGATAATGAATCTCAAAGTTAGTTACACGAAGTCAAACCTACTGAGTACATGTTAAATGGTCATAATTAAACAAACACATATTAGAATTAGCAAAAGAGATAAATTAATGAACGATCACTAATTTAGCCTTATTGGTTTGTCAACGACGCAAATGGCGTGACAATAGAAGATTAAGCAATTTCACATTGACCCGAGCAGAATTCGCGCGGTGATTGGCTTTTTGGGTGTTTTGAGTGTGGCATTTGAGTTTTTTGGCAAAAACACAAGAGTTGTTTATGAAATATAACTATTTGATTAACATTACAAACAAAATACGGACATTTCGCGTGAGAATATTTATTTTTTCCTGCATTTGTTTGTTACTTCCGTGGCAGTGAAGCTTATTATATGCCGGCTTCAAGGTGTCGCCGTTTCTGAGATCATAGGTTCATGTATTGGCTAAATGGATGTATAACATCATCTTTCTGCTTTATCTTTTCTTGTATCATTGTGATTGCGTACTTGTGCTGCGTTTGTTGTTTTTGATTTCCATAACACAAGTTCTTTAGCTACTTAGGATGTGAACAATGAATGTGATGTTGTCTAATATAGGTAATCGTTTATTATATATTTTATTGTATTTCCGTACAGTGTACTAAAATACTAAATCTACAGTTAACATCAAGAGAAACGTGAATCTAATTAAGCAACCACGGGAGCACAATGTCGACAAAATGGTGCCATAAATTTTCTGGTTTTATAATACAATTCCGATTGCATATTTATTTATTTATTTATTTAAACTTCTTTGCACAAATAAAACGTACAAATGGTGGACTTAATGCCAGTAGACATTCTCTACCAGTCAACATGTCATTTTTTTTTATTGATCGGGGCCACAATTCAGTTGATTTTTATTGTAATATCTACCCAAAGTCAAATATTTAAAATATCTTCCTGACAAATCAATGGTGGCAGACATATTTATTATTTTGTGATCTAGAAACAATAACTGTCATAAAGAGTTGTAGTTGAAGCGCCTTTGACTATCTATTGCACTAAATTAACAGAATCGTCCTATCACATCAATATCTGAGACACGTATATTCAATTGAATTTTTTTTTTTTTATACAAAGAAAAAAGAATCAATAGCATTTCTACACTCAATGACATGAATTCGGATATATGAGTGAATTTGAATTTGAGTGTGGAGTTTTACAGAACCGCAGGGCAGTATTGCTATTCTCTGAGCCTCGAGCTCGACGAGACACAGACGCTATCAGAGTGTAGCGGTCAATTAAATAAACTCTTCTTGAAAAGGTTCTACTTCATTGAGACTATGACGTAATAGAGCTACTAAAAACTTAGCGTCGATCTCGAGGATATTTCTTAAATAGAACACCAAAGAACTACGGACCAATATGAAGATAGCGCCACTATTAATCTAGAAGATTCTAACCATATTTCTTAACTAGCTGTTACCCTCAGCTGGTGACTACATGACTAAAGAAAAATCAACATAATCCATGACATTTTTGAAGGGTAAAAAGTATTCCAATTTACAAAATTTGACTATATTATAACGGCATTCCGTTGTGACGTCAACGAATGACAAACAAACAATTTCGGATTTACATATAATATTAGTACAGATCAGTTAATTTTTTTTTTCACCTTTATTCAAAAGTTTTGTTGATATTAGTACGTAGGTATATTATGAATTCCAAATATAGCAATAAGATAAATAAGTCTTATAATAATACATATCTGTGGTATTTATTTTACTTTACATGACAACAAGACATAGTTTCATTATAAATTAAAGGAGATGAGTCAGCTTAATAAATATTACTTTCGTATTGTTGTCTTAATAATTGTATCTATTAATAAATTGCTATCGAAGTACTGGCATAATAACAAATTTTGCAACTTTGTAAACCGATATCACGATAAATTGTAAAACTGACACAATCACAAGGTCCTCAATAACCAAGTGCACGAACAATACTCGTATAACCAGCATTTAACGAGTTAAGCTGCAGTACACACAAGAAGTATAAATCAGAGAGACAATAACTAAACGAGCCACTAACCCAGAAAAAGATAAGAATTCGTATCTTTATACTCTAAAGATCAAATCTTATCATTATGAAGATAGCCGTCATCAAACTAAAAAAGGTACCGGTGCATTACAATAATAAAAATATTAAAAGAAATAACAAGGAATTTAAGATAGTATTTATGCAATAAGGGACACTCGATCTGAAACGCAACATCAATGGCGTTATTACCAAATAATTCAATGTTTTTATTCAATTATGTGTTGTCTTATATCTTGTTCATAACATGTATTGTGTCTGTATTAGAATAATATAATTATAAATTTAAAACTAGAAAACATCCTATAAAAGCGAACGAAAAGGAACCTCAAAACCAGTTACGAGTATGTACAACATCTAACTAAACCCGCGCGCGCAAACAAACACCATACAAAAAGAGGAAAAAAAAACAAAGAAGTTAAAAAATATCGCAATCGTCATTTGTTTAAATGTATATATAACATGTACCTACGAAGCCAACTCACCGAATAAATATTTTGTAAACACTAGACAGCCGTTGGAGCGTGTAGACACAAAAGTGATAACATTTCAAACAACACTAAAACGTGGCGGGTCTTTCGCAACGATGTGACAACGGCGGCGGAGGCGACGGAGCGAAACGCACTACTGACTGCAGAAGGCTGCGAGGCCTGTGAATGTTGTAATTGTAAAGGGGGGTACACGCTTTCGAATAGTCGTTTTTTTACCTACGGCATACAAAACGCAATGGCATCTAAAAAACAACAACACACGCAAACTAAGTAATATGTAAAACAAGGAAATGCTATAAGATGGATAGTTTTCATGTGGTCAATGTTATATTTCTACTTAAAAACTATTTGGGTTAGAGTTATAAAAAGAAAATTTATATTGTCACAATCAGGCCTGACATTAATTGGCATGTCACATGATGCAAAATGTTTTGAAAATTTTATAATTGAACCTAAAAACTCAATATGGCCCCATATTTAAAATTAATTTACTAACATTACACCTCCACATTTCTTTGGGTCACTGAGTTACGTGTACTAAATTTCAACGCGATTAATCTACTACTTTCAGTGCAAATTAGCTATGAGAAAGACTCGGACGCTCAAACACGTGACATTCTACAAGAGCTTCGTTTACGCTTTGAAGGAGATGCATTACCCTCAATGATATATTTGCACTGAATATGTGCACCACCCTTTACTGGTCTTAATGAAACCAGTCTTTTTATGCTACATTACATTATCATAAAAACATTAAACACGAGATTTTCTACGCGAGAATCTAGAACCATTTGATTTCTAATTATAACATCGCAATTTGCTGAACATTTTTGCCGGATTTAAGAATAGGCACTAACAACCGTTAATGTTTTCATTTGGCAATTAGCTATTAGTTAATGATCTTCTAAAGAATTTATTAAGTAACTAATCGATATTCGCATATGTAAAGATGCCGTGGTCGTTCCCTGAGCTGATAGGATGAGCAGGTGACTGCACGCATTGGTCTTTCTGTAACAAACACCCTCGAAAAGCCGAACATCGATAAGAATGAAGGATAGTTATGACATTCATCTGGGACATGACTTGCAGTAATGAAGTTAGTAACAATTATGAAGATTCGTATAACAGTAGTATTAGTCAAACAAGGACATCTATCGGCCGGCCACTGAATTGAGAAAAGTACACAATCTCAACTGATTATCCTATTAATATTATAAATGTGAGTTTCTTTGTTTGTATGTCAATCACGCTGAAACTACTGAACGGATTTTGATGAAATTTGGTACACAGATAGGGTATCAGCTGAATTAGATAATAGGATACTTTTTATCCCACTTAACAATTCCCTAGAGACAACGTGGATGAAGCCGCTGGCGAAAGCTAGTTATCCATATATATAAAACTCTTGCGTTACTGAGTGGCTGACTGATAGACGACGTACAAACGAAACTACTGAGAAAGTTGAAATTTTTGAAAAGAGAAGATTTTTGGAAATTTCTCCCCTAAGGAGCTAAATTAGGAGATGCAAATTTGTATGAAACTTCGTTAATACAAGCGCTAGGAGTTTAAAATTTTGCATGCGGGCTCTTTTTAGGAGATAGGTGCTCACTAAAAGATTTTACGCAATTCGACCCTTAAGGGGGTAAATTAGGGGATGAAAGTTTTTATGGAAACTTCTCATTTCTGGACTCCGCCCGCGTGGTTTAGTTTTACTAGACACGCGGAGAAGTCGCCGGCAAAAGCTAGTTCACAATGAATTAAGTTTTTAACATTTCAAATGGCAAAAAGTTCTAGTTTTATCAAACTTTAATTCTCAAATTAGAAATCAGGTGTTAAGGTAAATTTATAATTTTGTTTTTAAGGTAATATTCGGAAATACTGACCCGATTATGAAAATTCTTTACTGTAGATAATATAAGGAAGGCTATATAAGGTCATAAACTACGCGGGCGATATCGCGGAAAAACAGCTAATTTAATATATATGGAACGTGAATACAGTCAGACAATTACTATTAAATCTAAAGCATGACTAAAACTAGTTAAATAAGGAGACTGAAATCAGACCAGTCCTATAATAAGCATTATTTTTGCTGTGGGACGTATTGATAAAGATGTATTTATATAAAAAAATGAATTAGTGCCAGCTTAAGTAGTATCCATTCAATAAACTTGAGAGCCACAAATGTGCAAGAGAGTAAACAACTATTAGAACTGCATAACATTAATACGACAGAAATGGCTGCCGAGACTGGAACTAGTTATGCTAGTGGGACTACATTATAATATGTCTAAGAGCCAATCGCACAAAAGTCCATTAAAATTGGCATTCGTTTAAAGTGAAATTACCGATACAAATTTGACGTTTTTTAGAGCATCATTAAACTTTAACGGACGTTTGTGCAACTTACCTTAAGTGCGATATTTTAACGAGTAATTTAACTAAACTTATCTATCTATACTTTATGTATTTTGCATCTAAAAGATAGATAGATAATATATTTATTTGCATTATTAAAATAGCACACATGTATTATAAAATTCTAATACAATAAAAAAAATACAATAAAAAAAAATTCGCTTTAACGTGTGCGCCACAACAATGCAAAAGGGTAAAAGCTCAACGATTCCTTTGCTCAAGGAGCAAAGCGCTGATTTTCAGCCTTTACCCAGAGTGCTAGCACGATCTCAAACTATAGCTTCACTTTGATATGATAGTCCGATTAAAAATTGCATTCAATCACAAGTATTATAATGGAATATAATATAATTCATTTAATTAATCAACTAATTTCAAAATTTTAATTGTGAGAATAATAAATATTTTAAAAGAAGTCTTGAATGGTTGCGATGGTAGGAAAATATGAACTAACTTAAAGAAGTTAATGTATTTATCAATTTTGCATTCACTATGTCATATATTAGATAAAAGTCGGAAATGCTTGAGAAATTCGTCAATCCAGTAGGTCTCGAGTAGCTCAATTAGTTAGAGGAGTCGTTAAAGGATATGCATTCGTATACTAACGCGGGAACCTGCCCCCTAATTGTCTAATTTTAAATCTATTGCAATCGCTTTCAGTTTGAAAGGTGTTGCACAACCATTGCTTGTTTCTAAAGACAGTTGAAAAAAAAGTATTTGTATTATGCAGCAATGGTTGTGCAACAACTTTCAAACTGAAAGCGATTGCAATAGATTTAAAATTAGACAATTAGGGGGCTGGTACTTATAACTGTTTATCTTTTGGGTATGATGCCATTTGACGCTATGTGAATAAGAAATGCCAAAACCACAACACAAGCATATCTAATCAATTAATGTCATATGTATTACAGAAATTTCAAGTCCTGTTTAGGATCTAAAGTCGAAAAAATCTTACTGAGGAATCAATATTTAAATAATGCACCTATCGTGCTTTATGTAAATCTAAATGGGAAACTTATCTGTTTTTCCGTCTCCAAGCACACACTCCAGTATATATATCAACATTAATAAATAACATTGACATTTATCTAGAAAGTTTGAATATAGGACAGATCTAATGAGATAAGAAAAATCTCGTGAAAATTGCTTTAACCTTCGAGATATAAATATACATTTATTATGTATGACGTCATACATTCTCGTACCAAAAGACATGGGCGGTTCAATTTCAATGAGCGGCGCCAGAGATATCTATACCAGACAAATGTCTTGGTTATGATTGTCTGGAGAACTGGAACTTACATTTTATTTTATGTCCTTGTGACGTAATATCCTGCAAGGATTTATTACAGGTACCCGTTTTAATTTCAAACAGGCTGAAAAGATAAGAAAAATAAACGCGCTCAAGCCATTCAAAACTTTGTATTGTCAAACAAAAGTTTTGGGTGCACATACCTACAAATGAATCATTTTTTTTTTAATATTAAGTAATGTTCATTTTTGTGAAAGATGGGTAAGAACATAAATATAGATGTATATATTTTATCTCCAAGATATTGTATATACATACATATTTTGTCTTAACAAATTTAACACTAATAGAAAGAATGACATGGATAAGGCATCTTCTTCAAAAGTATTTTTGGATTCAACTGAATACTGTTTAGGTTGGTGCTGATATTATCGTTACTCAATTCAAAATTGAAAGCAAGGTATAAAAATATTTAAATTGATTTATGCTACTACTCTTCAAGCTATTGCTTTTGTGTTCCTTTTTATGCTTTGAAATCAGATTATTATTTAAAAATTCAGAAACATCAAACTATAAATTAATTCTGAGGGAATTTCAACATTATGACAGAACAGCATATTATAAAGAATGGAGCTATGAATGTGTTTGTTGTTTGTAAAATAACAAAAACTTTTTACTTTAAAAAAAATCTTTCCCACTACACATGCTATACAAAAAAGAAAAAAGCAGATTATTAATAGAACATGTATAATAAATTAATAGTAACTGAATCATGTCTTGGTTAAAGTTACAATTAAATATCTTAAATATGTAATTGTTACTTTAACATCCAAGTGGTTTGATGGATAATCATTATAGATTATAAGTTTAAGAGCATATAATACAGATGAAATCTATAGTGATAACAATTAATTTTTGTTTATTTGTCCGTCAGGTTGATTACTGAAGAACATTATATGAATTTTTTTTTTATTTTTTGCATAATCAATAAATTACAGTGATACATTGAGTTGAAATGTTGCATGCTGTCACACTTTTGTATATTTTCTACAAAGCTGTGACATAGCAAGCCACCACCCCTGAACTTTAATGCTTATCTAAGCCATTTTATTTAAATTAAAGCAAAAATAATAATTATTTAATATTTTACTATTATCTGACTGACGAAATGAATAGATTTTTTTTTTACCCAATTGTCATCCGTATTATGTGATAATAACTTAATTTCCCACATCTACAGAGTTAAGGATATCCATTCCATCAGTTTTAATAATTCGTTTGATTATACATTCATATAAAAATACTTTTTGAATTAATCAAACCCTTTGTTAGTATTCCAGAAAGAACGCAATCACAGTGTCATTCTTTTTTTCATAATAGCCATAGAAACCAAAATAAAAACATGTAAATAAATTTTGTTCGAATTATGACTTATGTTATACTCAATAGATCAAAT